ACCCGTATATACAGAAACTGAGGCCTCCTGCCAACTGCCAGCACCAACTTGCCAGCCACACAAGTGAGCCACCTTGGAAGTGATCCTGCAGCCCCAGTCAAGTCTTCAGATGACTGCAGCCCTGGCCAATATAGCTTAACCGCAAGCACAGCTTGACTGAACCAGAACCACCAAGCCAAGGTGCTTCCAAATTCCTAAGAGAGGCAACCCAGGCTTACTGATCCTCTAAATTGGTAAGAGGAAGGGAGCTGGAGAGAGATTGCAGGAGAAGGCTTTTGCTTCCTGGTTCTTGTGTGCTCGATTGGCAGGCTTCTGCAGTGCAGACAGCTTCACCCGTGCCCAGTTCCTGGAATGGCCAGCAACACCCTGTGTCTAACAGATCCTCCTGGCACTACACACTGGGCAATAGTGTCAGCAGAGTGCCTCCACTTCTTGCAGCTTTTGCAGTTTCTCCAGCACCTGCTGTGCATGTGGCTTCCCCAGCATGAAGCCCCTGCAGCACTCACAGCTTTTCCAGCACCGGGAGCCTGCGGTCCAGGGAGACTACTGTACCCAGCCCAGGCAGTTCTGTAGTGGAGTTGCTTTGGTTTGACACCTTCCTGTGAAGAGCTTTCCCTGGCATCTAGGAGGGCGGATTTCTGCCAGTTACATTGGCATGACACCACAGTGACTTTTCTGCCCTCTGGTGAGCCACAGGCTGTGTTCTCTTCAACAAAGTCTGGATTTCAGCCGTGGGTTAGGAGGTGGGTATCTCTTCATTGGGTGTTCCATCTCAGCCTCAGTCCTGCTCAGGCTGCGTCTATGTCTGCCACTTATGTACCCTTTAGAGTTCTCTTTACTCATTACTAACCAATTCTTTGTTACTCCAATTCCCAGTTATAACAAATAATTATTTTAAAATTTCCCTGTTCAAATTACTGTGTGGTTTCTCTCCTGATTGGGCCCAGACTGATACACTTTACCCTCTCTATCTGAGATCTCTCTCAACTGCCACAGATTCTGGCTTATAATCCATGGTGCCTTCTCAAGGGGCGTGGGCCAAGGAATATGAAAGTAAAAAGCTCAGTAAAAATTAGGAGGTTCTAATCGTATTTCTGCCCCAGACCAGTCACGTGCCCTTGGGCAAGTCACTCTTTCCGCCCCTCCCCGCCACGCTGACCAGTCAGGAGCATGTAGTGTGAAAAAGAAATAACCTTGGTCATTTCTAAGCCACTAAAGTGGCTGTTACTGTGGCGTAGTCTGGCCCATCCTGAGTAATCCAATGCTATATTGTTTCCTGTTGCTTATCTTTGGCCTCAATCTCCAAACCTGCCTTCTCCCTGAAACTCCCTGAAAGCATTGGTTCCACATTCAGATCTGAAAAGCAGCAAGAGAAGAAGGGAGTCTGTCCCCTAAACAGGGGAGCAGGGTTGTGTCCAGGGAGATACGCCCATGCTATGCTGTGCTCTGGGGTACAGGTTATGCTGTATGAAATGTACACCCAGCCCTGGAGGGCTGTGGACAGACACTGCCCCTCAAGCTTCTCTCCCATACTCATTTATTGGCTCTCCGTAATTTTATTCTCCATTATTAAAGCAGGAATGACTGGGTGGGCAGGAGGGCCGGACTCCCACTTCCGGCGGGCACTGCAGGCTGACTATGACCTTGCAGGCCTGGATCTGAACATCCTCCTCAGGGTGGATGACCAGGGCGAGCAGCCGGTCTGCCAGCCGTGAATCATCACCAAAGAGAGCTTCATGCACAGACTGCTCGTTGTAATGCCATTTCACGGCCCGGTAGTGGGGTGAACTCCGGCCCTCGCTCAGCCGCTCTGCAAACACCAGCACCTCGAACAGCAGACTCCCAGGCTGTGTGGACTGGAACAGGTTCAGGAAGTTGGACTGCACCTGTGATGGGGATGAAGCAAGCGTGGGAGTGAAATCCAAGGCAAGTTCTCAAGTTCTTCTTCTATTCTCCTATTGCCTGAACTCCCCAGTAGACCCAAGGTTTCAGATTCAACTGTTAGGGATTTTTTTGTTTTCCTTTCATTATCATAATTTCATTGTGTCATAAAATATGAGTGATATAATAATACTGATTCGGGGAAATATGTTGAAACAAAATTTAAGCTTAGCATGTGGTTGATTTTTATAAATCTTTTGTGTACTTGAGAGGAATGTGCACTCACTAACTGTGGAGTGTTCTAGGCATGTCTGATGGCTCAAGCTTATTTGTGTTATTTGCAGCAAGTAAAACCTTACTCATTTCAGGTATTTTTCTATTAATTGTTGAAAGAACAATTAATCTTCCAAATCTTCCACTGTAGTGACAGATGTGAGAAAGAAGGAAATCCTGCCATTTGTGACAACATAGATGGACCCTGAGGCCATGATGCTAAGTGAGATAAGCCAGAGAAAGACAAATACTGCATGGTATCACTGACACGTGGAATCTTTAAAAAAAAAAAGTCAGACTTACAGAAACAGAGTAGAAAAGTGGTTGCCAGGGGCTGGGAGTTGGGGGAAATAAGAAGAGGTTGGTAAAAGGGTATATACTTTCAACTAAAAGATGAATAAGGGGGGATACAGCTCAGTGGTAGAGTGCACACTTAGCACGCACAAGGTCCTGGGTTCAGTCCCCAGTACCTCTGTTAAAAAAATAAGTAAATAAATAAACCTAATTACCATCCCCAAAATAAAAGATGAATAAAATCTGAGGATCTAATGCAAAACATGGTGACTATAGTTGATAACACTGTATTATATAATTGAAATATGCTAAGAGAATAGAATTTAAATGTTCTCACCAAAACCAATTATGTGTTAATTAACTGGATGGTGGGAATCCTTTCTCAGTGGGTATGTATTCCAAATCACCACAATGTAGTATACTTTAAATATCTTACAAATTATACTCTATCAATTATACCTCAATAAAACTGAAAAAGGAGAAAAAACAATTTCCTTATAATTCTATCAAGTTTTGCCATGTGTATTTTGAGACTATTAGGTTCATATAAGTTTAGAGTTTGCTTTATCCTTCTGAACTATTATGTAGTGACCCTGTCTACTCCTAATTATTTTTGTTATAAGTAATTTTCCCCTAATATTAAAATACCCACATTAACTTTGGTTACCTGTGTCCCTGACCCTCAGAGTTCAGAAAGCCCCTCCAAGGAGAATCTGATTCTTTTGGGAGGACAACAGGGGATGGTTTGCAAGGCAGCTCGTGCAGAGGCAGGTAGAGGAACAAGATGGTCTTGTTAGGGCTACATCTGTCTGGAGAATCCCTGATCCTTTCCCAATATCTAAGTTGGCATCCTAGCCCGTCTTCAGTTCCTTTCTCACCTGGCAGTTGAGAATATCATAGAGCAGGTCGTTCTTCTGTGCCAGGTTGCTCAGCAGTCGTATGGCTTGTACCTGAGTAACAGAAAGAGTAAAGCACGAGGAGGCGGGTGAGTCTGTGCCTGAGCACAAATCTCCACTCCTCCCTCTGGGTGCTGGGCCAGGGCTGGGCCATGGTCCTCAGGGACCTGTGCCAGGATATAGTCTGACTGCAGGATCTCCATCAAGGCAGGCATCACCCGGCGCAGCTGTGGATGTACAAAGTCAGGCAGCGGCATGTTGTTGAGGAGTCTGAGGCCTGCAATGTGCAGTTCCGAGTCCCAGATGGTGGAGATCAGTTCCAGGACCTTGATGGAGTGTTCCTAGGGCGGAGAGGGTAGGAAGAGAGAAGAGTTTTCTGCTTTTATACAATGATCTCCAATACTGTTCCAGCCTCTGCCTTCTCTCCACCGCCCCAACTCATGACAACTGAGTCAAACCCAGTAGACAGCTCCCTCTCACTTAAAAGATCAACATTATTTGACTTAGTTGACCACTCCTACCTCCCTAACATTCTTTCCTCACTTGGCTTCTCCATCATAGACTTCTTTCCTGGTTCTTCTGCCCAACCTCCTCTGTCTTCATCGCTCCCTTAGTGACGCAGTGTTACTCACAGACTCTGTGTTAAATACTAACCATCTGCTGATGCCTTTCGAGTTTCTGTCTCCAGCCCAGACCACTCCCTCAACTCCAGATTCATAAATGCAATTTTCACTACCTTTCCGGAATGCTTACTAAGGCTCTCAGAGTTCACACTTTCCCAGCCCCCAGACCTGCCCATCCCACCACCTTTTCTGCCTCCACTGTTGGTTACACCTTCCTTTCAGTTACTCAGAATGAAAATCTGTGGTCTTCCTTGACTCCCTTCTTTCTCTCATACCCCTTTTTGGAAAATCCTGTTGGCTCTACCTTCAGAATTGATCAACAATCAAGTCCCTTTTCACCTTCCCCCTTCTACCACCCTGTTCTAAGCCACTGTCACCTCTCCCCCAGATTTCTGCAATAATCTCCTTCTCCTGGCTTCCATCCTTACCCCTCTGCATCTATGTGCAGAACAGAAGATGTGTTAGACATGTCACTGCTCTGTTCAAGAGTCCCTAGCTCATTCAGGGTAAAAGCTAAAGTTCTTACAGTGGCTTACAAAGTCCAGTTTGATCTGCCCCTCTCCTCACATTCTTTTTCTTTTTTCTTTTGATGGCATGGGTAGATAATGAGGTTTATTTATTTATTAACGGAGGTACTGGGGATTGAACCCAGGACTTTGTGCATGCTAAGCATGTGCTCTACCACTGAGCTATGCCCTGCCCCTCCACCACCATTATTTCTTTGACTTCATCTCTTATTCTCTCCTTTGCTCCCCATAGTTCCCATCACTATGGCCTCTTAGCTATTCCCTGAACATGCCAGGTACACACCTATCTCAAGGTTTTTGCACAGGCTGTTGCCTCTACTTAGAATGCTCTCCCTCCAGCTATTCAGAGCTCACCTCCTTCAAGACTTGGTCTTAATGTCACCTTCTCAGTGAGGCCTCCCTGACCACCCCCTCCTTTAAGACGACAACACCACTCCCATCCCTGCCTTCCTTATCCTCCCCCTTTATTTTTTCCCCATAGCACTATCACATGTAACACACTTTTCGTTTTTAAACATTTTATTTTCAAATAACTATAAATTCATGGGAAGTTGCAAAAATAGTAGAAGAGGTTCCATGTGCCCACCACCCAGTTTCCCTCAATGGTTACATCTTACATGATTGTAGTATAATATCAAAACTAGGAAAATGGTATTAGTACAATGTGTATATAGAACTCTGTGTCATCTTATCATGTATGTAGATTCGTGTAACCACCACTGCAGTCAGCAGAGTATTCCATCAGAACTGCTCCACCACCACAGATCTCCCTTGTGGGGCTCCCTTGTTACTCATGCTTACCCCTCCCCACCAAAACCAGCCCCAACCAGTGGCAACAACCAACCTGTTTTCCACCTCTATAGTTTTGTCATTTTGAGAATGTTATATAAACAGAATCATACTTTGTGACCTTCTGAGATTTTTTTTTTCACTCAGTATAATGCCCTTGAGATCCATCCAAGTTGTTGTATATCAAAGGTTCTCTCCCTTTTATCACTGAGTAGTGTTCCATGATGAGGATGACCCCAGTTTGCTTAATCATCTATCAGTTGAGAGACATTTTGGTGGTTTCCAGTTTTTGACTATTACAAATGAAATTGCTATGAACAATTGTATACAGATGTTAAGTTGTTTATTTCTCCAGGATAAATGCCCAGGAATGCAACTTCTGGTTTGTATGGTAAATGTAGAGATCTTTTTTTTTTTAAGTGCTAAACTATTTTGCAGAGTGGCTGCTGTACAGTTCTACATTCCCACTGGCAACATATGAGAGATCTGGTTTCTCTGTATCTTCACCAGCACTTGGTATTGTCACTAATTTGGAGTTTAAATCATCTAATAGGTGGATAGTAATATTTCATTGTGGTCTTAATTTGCATTTCCTTAATGGCTAGTGACGCTAAATACTTTTTCATGTGCTTATTTGCATTTCGTATATCCTGTTCAGTGAAACATTTCCATGTCTTCTGCCCGTTTCGAGTTGGATTTTTTTTTCATATTGAGTTTTGAGAGCTCTTTATATAATCTAGCTGTGAGTACCTTGTCAGATATGTGACACATATGTGGTTTGCAAATATTTTCTTCCAGTCTGAAGATTGTCTTTTCATCCTTTTAACAGGGTCTTTCACAAAACCAATTTTTTTATAATTTTGATGAATTCCAATTTATCAATTTTTTTCTTTCATAGTTTGTGCTTTTGGTGTTATTTCTATGACTCTTCATCAAGCCCTAGTCCCAGAGATTTTCTCCTTTGAAAGTGCAACACCACGCCCACACCAGCCTTCCTTACCACCCTTCTTTATTTTTCTCCATAACACTTACCACATGAAACATGCTCTATATTTTACTTATTTATGTAATTGCCTGCCTTGCTCTGCTAAATATAAGCAGAATATAAGCTCTACTGGGACAGGGATCTTTCCTGTTCTGTTCACTGCTGTAGCTCCAGTGCCTAGCACAGAGCTGTGGCACAAAGTAAGTGCTCAATTGATAAACATTTGTTGAATGAATAAAAGGACCTTGGCTTCTAAGATGCAAGATACTTGGGCCAAAAGGTATTACCAAAGGCAGGTACCCTTACAAGCTGTACCCCTGTGAGCCACGTAAGAAGGAAGCACAGGTCCTGGAGTAGGGAACACAGCATCCCCATTGGCACCCTGCTCCTCCCTGCCCTCGCCCCTCACTGTCTGCTGAGACCTGAAGCACTGGTAGGAGTTAGCATGTCTGAGGTGGGGTTTCAGTCAGAGGGAACTGCAAGTATAAGGGCTGGGGAGGGGAGAGAGCATGAAACCGACAAGGTCAGCGGCTGGGGTTGGGGCAAGGAGGTGAAGCTGAGGGCGCACTTTCTGATGAGCCTTGAGGAAGACCAAGCAGGGGCCGATGCAATCAGATCCCTCTGAAGAGGGTGGTCTGACTCAGGGGATGAGGCGAGCTCCATTTCAGACCTGTGTGGTTAGAGGGCCACTAGTTTGTCTGAGTGGAGCAGCTGGCCCAGGGTCTGGAGGTCAAGGGAGACCCCAGGCTGCAGACAGAGACACAGGAGAACCCATGAAAGCTGAGGCCAGGGAGTGGCCGCTTTCCCCCCAGAGAGGGGAGAACAGGGTCAGGTCCTCAGGATACAGACTGCAGAAAGAAGGAACAATGGTGCCCAGGCCACCTGCATCAGAATCTTCTGGGCAAGGGGAGGCTTGTGAAAAACAGCTCTCCTGTTGAACTGGATTCTCTGAGTGTGGGGCCTTGAAATGTTCATTTTTAACTAGCTCTCCAGGCAATTCTGATCTGCTTGAGAATCATAGCCTTAGGACAACTGAGATTACCGAGGATGAGGTAGAGGCAGCCAGCAAGTGGAGACCAAGACACCCTCTTTTTCCCCAAAAAAGGTGTGATGCAAGAAATTGAAAGTGTGAAAATACGAAATGCTGGGAAAGAGGTGATACACCAGGAACACTCATGCAGGGTTGGTAGAGGGTGTGAATGGGTACAACCCTGCTTGAAAAGTTGGGCATACCTGTCATCCAGCCATTCCACTGCTGCTTACATAGCCCAGGGGGAGTTCTCCCATGTCCACTAGGGAGCTGTGTATAAGAATGCTCATGGCACAACGTGGAAACAACTGGATAAATAATATTGCAGGGTATTCGTGAACTGGAATACTATACAGCAGGGGAGAAGGAAACAGAGCTGTCCACATCCATAAAAGTGTTAGAGAGAATAAGGCAAACTACAGAATACAAACTGCACACTTCCACATACATGAAGCTTAAAACATTCCAGCTATATGTGACCTATTCGTTTATTGTCTGTCTCGCCCTGTAAGAACAGAAGAAGATACATGGGAATGTGGTCGAACTACAAAGAAAATCAAGGAACTGGTGAACAAAATGCAGAGGAATGATTGCTTCAGCCCATTCCCATTAAAGACCTGTGGACTGTGGACATTCTGTGTGATCTGCCCCACTGCTTGTTGCTGGACTCACCTGGATTTTGAGCCTAAATTTTCTGATGCCAGAGAAAGCTTTAAGCGTGTTCAGAGCTTGGATTTTGACACTGTTGTCCTTGTCATCCAGCATGGAGCCCACCAATGCGATGTCATCATTAGTACAAGCAGAGGCCTAGAGAGTGCCGGCAGAGATGGGAGAGATGGGAGAGGCAGAAGCAGGTGTCCTGGTCCCAGGCCCCCATGTCACCAAGACCCCTCAACACAACCCCTCCCGCCAATGGAGGCAGGTCTGATGACACAGTCTGGCATGTCAGGGGCCAGGCTGGCTGGGAGGGACCTCCTGCTTCCCTTCCCTCACCTCGGACTCCAGCAAGTACACACAGCGCGTGATACTGTGCAGGATCATGCTCTTGGCGTACGCATCCTGTTTGCACTCCAAAGAGTTGAGGAGCCTCCGGAGCTCACCTGAGTCCCGCCCATGCCGCTCTCGCTCGATTGCCAGGCCTAGATAGCCACCGCAGCCCAGTTCAGGCTGTGGACTCGGAAGTGATGAAAGAATGGGGTTGGGAAGTTGGGGAGAGGGACCTGGGGGCAAGGCTGCCTTGCCTTTTCTGAAGAGAAGACTTCTTGCTATATGCAGGACCACCATGTACAGTTGAACAGGGTGTGTATTGCACAAGGGCACCACATCCACATCTAATGCCGTATTGTTCATATAATAAACAAAACTTTTGAATATTTACTATAACAACTTGCTGGCGTATGGCAGTAACATGTAGTATCTCATCATATTCAGTATACGGCAATGATATTCCAACAGATGGCAATAAAAAAGTCTTGCAGAAGGGGGGCCTTTCTCTACTTTGGACAAAGTTGTCATTTGGACTAGCAGAGGCTCTGGGCATGTAGGTCCCCCAACCTTCCCTTGGGGAGAACTGCTGATGCCAAGTTTCCAAGCAGTGTCACCCTGGAAGCTAGAGTGAGTGTAGAATTCAGAAACCTGCCAGATGAGTCCTGAGGATGTACTTGAGTGCCACCCACTACCTGGGGACCCTGAGCTAGCATCTCTAGGGTGGGTCTGAGGAAGATGGAGAAGAGGAGAGAGGAGAGGGAACGTGGAGGAGTCACCTTTGGCCCTCCCACACTGGAGGCCCCGGGAACAGGTACCTCCTGGGGCTAAGCCCTCTCCCCAGGGCGGGGGCACTCACGGGCGATACAGATGGGCGAGGTAGTGCAGAGGGGTGGCTGGCATTTGATGCCAGCCTTGATGGCCTTGTAGAGCAGGTAGATGGCCCCGGCGCCTGTGGCCAGGCTCACTACACCTTTGTAGATGTCCATTTGCCCCAGGCGCTGGGGGATGCAGCACATGCCCGAGTCTTCAGTGCAGCTTTGCGCCCGGGTGGGAGCAAGGCCTGAGGCACCTGGCAAAGGCCTTCCGGAACTAGAACTCTGGCAGGGCCAGGAACCAGGGTACCAGAATCAGAACCCGGGCAACAAAGGAAACGGGGGAAATGGTGGGATGGAGGGTGGTGGTGGGGACCCAGGGCAGCCAGGGAGATTCAGAGGCTGTTGGAAACAAAGCTCCAGACTCTAGTAGAATAAAAAATTTGGGAGCAGGAATGTCCTTCTCATCCCCTTTTCTTTAGCGGACCAGGTTGGTCGGGCCCCAGCAGGCAGCTCCACAGGCTGCCTTTCTTCCATCAGAGGGCAGCAGAGGCCCAATTTCTGGGCTGGGGCCATTGAAATTGGAGGAGGGAGGCGGGTGACCACTGACAGTCCTGTTCCCTCACTTGCCTGCCTGGCCCTGCCATCTTTGATCTCTTTACCATAGATCCACTTCTGGGCCTGGGGTGTTTCTGTAGGTAGAACATTTTATCCTTCCTTTGGAGGATAAAAAGCAATGTATACGTACCTGCTAACCAAAAGCTCCTGAAGGCAGCTGTCTGCATCTCCAACAGCCAGCACAGAGTCCTGCACTTAGTAGATGCTAAAGTTATAGCTTCTGTCATTCTTTGAGGACAGAATAAGATCAGAGAATCTGGATGCAGGGGCTCCAGGCCCATGTAACCAGTGTGACTCTGGAGCAGGAGGGATTGCCCTTACCTGAGTCTGTTTCTGCAACTGTAACTTAAGAGGATCCAGATTTAGCATTCTAAAACTCCAGGATTAAATTGTGGGTAGGTCTGTGCTACTAAATCACGGAGGTCTATATCTGGAAGTATCACACCCCATTGCCCCCACAACATACACACAGGGTGGGATGAAGCTGGAGGCTTCCTCTGGAATCAGAAAATCCTGGAGGATGAGAACCCAACTTTGGAGGCCTTGGTCTCTACCACTAGGCTGGAGCAGGTGAGACTAGACCCTTCCCTCCTTCTCTTCCCCACTGCCCCTAGTGTCCCCACATCCTCTGGCCTCACCTTCTGCTACAGAGCAGGGAGGAGCCTAAGCCAGGCTCAGTCCAAGCCAGCACAGGGCTTCACCTGCCTGGCTTTGAGCTGCTGTTGGAAGGCTCTGGGCCCTGGGCTGCACCTGGGCTTGAAGGCGGTGGGGAAATAGGAAAAAAGTGTTCCCAAGGATGCCGCAGTCAGCCAGGTCTGTCCACTGAGCCTTCATCTATCTCACCCCAGACTCCAGGCAGCACTCCGAGGGGGCCATTCTCTTCCTTTCCTCTCTTTCAGCCTTAGGTCTCCTCAAGGGTCATTCCTAGGTGGTTCCTAGCCCTCTACACAGCCCTAAGGTGAGTGGTCAGGCCATTCAAGATGGCTATTCTCTTGCTCTCTGTACATCCCCTGCTCCACCAGTCCTTTCTTCACCTGCACCCACTCATGTGAATGTGTTTGCCCTGATCTAATCCCTAGGCCAGAAGGGCTCCACCTGCAAGTTTATTAAAAGGAAACATCTACCCCAGTGATGGTAATTAATCTATGATGGCTGTGAGGGATGTGCCCAAGCTGCTGGTTTCCCTGGTACCTGAGGAGCCAAGGTGACATCAATTCCCGCTATAAATGGTAGCCTCCTTCTCCCCCGAGTAGTGAAAAGGGCTGCTATCCCACCTTCTTTCTGCCATACACGGTGGAGGTTATCACTCCAGGACTTTTTGCTTAAGATCCCCTGTCCATAAAACACTGATGTCTCTGTCGCTATCTCCTGCAGGTCCATGGGTTGCAGCCCAACAGTTGGCAAGCCAGCCAAGAGGCCGAGGAAACTCCTGCAAGTGCCAAGATGTCAGGAAGTGAGGACGGAGAACGGAGAGTCGCAGGAGTGACTGTGACCGTCCACTAGCAGCTGGGGCCCCATGGTAGCTGACTACCATGAATGATGTCTTTCTCTTCCATTACTTTGATATCCTCTGAACCTCAGGGTCTCTTTATAACTTAAAAGTAGCTGCTCCACACTCATGGCTCATCTGACTGCATAGGGATGGCTGGTGAATACAGACAAAATGCAAGGACCAGGATTATCTACAAAAGACAAGGATAACCCCAACTCCTCACCCCTAAACAATTAGACACAGGCTTTTGGGGATATTAACTTAGGGACAGGCTTGTGAACTGAACGTTGTCAGTCACCTGGAAGGGTTTGGCTGGGACCTGGGGCAATGACAAAATAAGAGTGCTCTTGGGCTTCTGGTCCCAGCTATGGAAAAGGGCAGAGCAATGACACAGTGTGATGGAACTACAGCTGTATGCAGTCTACAATGTGCTACAAGTGGAAGACATTACAAAAGGCCCACTTCAGTCATCTAACAACGCGAATAAACTGTTTTGGGTCTAAAACCGCTTGTGTGTGACATATAGAACCCCCGTGGACACTGACAGTGACCAAGGAATCCACTCTACTGGCTACAAAGTTCAGGAATAGGCTGATAAAAAGGATATACAGTGGCATTTCCACCTGCCTTTCGACCCCACTGCTGCTGGGCTAATGGAAAGGACCAATGGACTACTTAAACAATTGAGATGGAAACCCACTCTCTCAACAGGCGGACCAGAGGCTAACACAAGCCCTATGAACTATAGCTGAACATCCCAGGTGCAATCGTCCCAGTGCCATGTTAATCCACAGGCAACTAGTCAATGCAATCTGAGTTCAATTCTTGACTACCAAAGGACCGTGGCCAACTATTGGTCAGGACAATAATTCACTTTTGCCCTTGCCACAGGATCTACCCCCAGGGGAACACATAAGATGGTCCTGGGACTGCCTGGTAAGTCCTGATGGTTTGAGTTTGCCATCCTGCGGGGAATAGGATTAGAAAGGGATTTAGAGACTTCACCTGTTTTATACCTGGTCCCACCTGAGACTACTAAGGTAATTAACCTGGACCCCGGACTGGAGAAAGGCACTGTCATACTAAGGTCTGTGGTTATACTGCCTCTCCAGTATTTGGCATCATCGATGTCTGTTGCTATCCCCAGGCTTGCTCTTCAGTTTCAAGGCTTACAGGCCTGCGGGTGCCACCCAACAGTGGGTGACTATACAGACCCCCTGCAGTGAAGGATGATGGAGGCCTTCTCACTGCCTGGGGACCACCTATCAAGTCCCATGAACTCTGGGCAGGAAATGGCTGCCTGATGGAACTATTTCAGGTTCGAAGGCTACCCTGGTGGATCTGAGACTAGGTCCTTCAAAACAAAGTTCTTGCCCTTGTCTGAGGTGGGACGCAGAGCTACTGGCCATGGTGTTGATCCTGCAACCCTCACATCCTTAAGCAAATGCAGTACTCACCTGCTCTTTAAAGATCTCCAGGGGAGGAAAATTCTTTCTTGGCTCTAACCTAAATCCCTCCTGCTACACTTAAGCCCATTTCTTTTGGTTCTGCCCTCAAATGATTCAGAGATTAAAAGCAGAGGCATCACCAGTGTGAGATTTTCACTAGTCCACAGCACGATGAAAAAATATGGAGGACTGTCTAGTTGTTGGTGGAAAGTCAATGACTGTCCTTTCTTGGCAGTAACTGCTTTTGATTCAGATGATGTCTGACTTATTTTGAGGAGGATTAAAATGGACTTGCTTTTATGAAATGATGGTGATAACAGATGGTAGTTGTGTTTTGAAGGTTCCTAGGGAGCATAAATTGAGGCTGCAACTCTTTGTCAGAACTTGGCTTTTGTTTTCTTGTTTCATTTTTTTCTGTAAAATCCAGAAATTTGGAATATTGGTTAGAGAGAAGTCTAGGATTCCATATACACACAACCAAGCCCCAGTTTCTTACCCACCCTCCCCAATGCAAAAGTTGACAGGCTGCCCTAGGACACACCTTTCTGTCACCTGCACCAGCTTTCTACCTTATAGGTTGATGTTCCCATCATGTTAGTTGCAGTTTATTTAGCAAGTGAGAGTGTGGGCTCAACCCAGACTGCTGGGGTTCAAATCCAGCTCAGCCACTGACTTAGATTTGTGATCTCTTTGTGCCGCATTTTCCCCACCTATAAAATGGGAAGAATAACAATACCTACATCTTGGGGGTTTTTGAGAGGATTAAGTACTTGGAACAGTGCCCAGCACACAGAGCTTCCCAAATGTAACTAGAATAATTCCTATTATAAGCAGGTTTCACCTAGACAATAATGTTGGGTGTGGGAAGGCAGTGAGCATACGGATGGCGGGACTCTGTGAGGCCTGAAAGGCACCTTATTCAGCCCCTTCCATTTCACTGTCTACCCCTCCCACCCTGGTCTTCTTCAGGTTAATCAGTCTCATCTCCTGTAACCTATTTAACTGCCTTGAGCAACTCTGGAGTCCTCTTTGAATCACCCCCCCCCCAACCCCGCCACGCCCAAATACTTAAATCAGGAGGGCTAGGGAAATCCAGCCTATTGCCTATTCCCTTGAGCTCCTTTATTCCTAAAAACCATCCTCCCACCTGTGAAACCCTAAGACTATCTCCGCATTCTCTCTACCAGGACTCTGATAATAGGTGTTTCAGCTTAGTGTATCAGAGGAGCCTAACTGGGTACCTAGTGTGGAAAAGGGTGCTAGGCCATTATGGTGGGCGACCCAGGAGGGGCCCGGCAACCGGATGCACAGGAGAAGCTATGGGAAAATTAACCTACTCTATCTATACTCTAATGAAAAGCCCGTTGGGGTCCGATGATCTTGGGTTTGAGCGAACTGGGTCTCCGTTTCCTTCTCCGGGAAACGTGTCTTTTAATACCTGCCTACTCCAGGGAAGTGCCGCTGTCAGAACTGAATGAGAATGTACGTTGTGACTCTCCCTCGAAGAACAAGGGACGCTCAATACGTGCGAGCTGCCCCAGCAGAAAAAAGCGGAGAGATGAAAGTGTGGGGGGCCGCCCCTGCCCTGACGTGGATCTCACACTCTCCGAGACTGTCCCCTTCCCAGCTCGCGCTTACCCCGGGCCAGGACCGGATTCGGGGGCCTCTTGGTAGCTCCTTACGCCGACGTAGGCGCGGGGACTGGAAGAAAGGCGGCAAAAGTCCGGGGAGCGGAGGGAGCGGCACCTCGTAAGGACGAGGACCGGGTCGGGGGCGGAGGCCGCGCCTTTCCCCGCCCCGGGCTTCCCCCCATCTGGTCCTCCCTCCCCCGACTACCTCTCCGCCTTCCCCCGCCCCCCCGCGCGCATCCGGCGGCGGGCACAGGATGTTCTTTCGCTCCGGTCCCCCCGCCCCTCCTCCGCCCCCGCTCTCACTTTCCCTTCGCTCCCTTCCCCCGCTCCCGCCGCGCCCGGCGCCGACACCTTGTTTAACTCCTCCTCGCCCGTGCTCCGCGGCACCCGCGCGCCCTGGGGTCCCACCCTTCCAGCCCACCCGCAGGACGCATAGCAAGCCCGAGGGCTTTCCGGGAAGAAACCGGCCTGGACTGAGCGCTGGGCCTTGGTTCTCGAGATCCATCGGCCCATCGGGGTGAAGGGATGGAGACGGATCCTAGGGGCTGAAGCCGGCTTTCTCTGGACCCCCGCCAGCTCACCGATGCTGGGTGGGCTGCGGATGGGGTGCCCTAAATCGGGCAAGCCTCGCACCAGAAGGGGGAGGCCAGGTGGGTGGGGTTAGCTCCAGGCCCGGCCGTGAGGATGGCAGGGTAGAGAACCCCTAACCTCACCCTCTACCCAGGTTGGGATAAAAACGGGCCTGGGTCTCCAGGAGAAGTTGGGGAAAGGTCACGCCCCTCGCGCATACGTCACTGTTTCCAAGGCAACCAGGGGCGGGGACGCGGGTTGGAGAAGGAGAGACCTTAGAGAAAGGAGGCTGCTGGAGGCATTGGGACCCGGGTTGGGATGGGGAAGCGGCGTTGGCGGCCTTTTCAATCTTTGCTTCTTCACTCGCTGATGTTCCAAAAAGCTGAGGGAAGGACGGGTTCTGTTCGCTCGCTCGTTCATTCAACAGACGTTCATTGATTGAGCTTGAACTATGCTTGGCACCATACTTAGGCACTGGGTTCCCACGGCGCTGGATCCGAACCCTGCCCTCACCGGTTATTTTGAGTTAGGGTAGGGTGGCCATGCATCCTGGCTTAAGTCTGTGTTACCGGTGTAATTATTAATAGTAATAGTGTAATTATTGATTGCTTAGGCGTGTCCCAGTATGGGGGTGGGTAGTTAAGGAACCCTATCCGCCAGTTCAGGGAAGGCCCCTACCGGGGCAGGGAAGGAAGACGCGCTATTACCTGCTCACTGTGCAAGGGGCACTTTGTAGTCTCTGTAAACGTTGCCACTTATTTTATAAGGTAAATATCTCTCGCACCTTTTATAGATGAAGAAACGGGCTCAGAAAGGTTAAGAGACTTGCCTAAGCCCAAAAAGCTAAGGGTTGGAACCAGGATCCAGACCCAAGTCCGGGTAGCCTCCAAAATCCAAGTGCCCTATCTTATGCTTCCTTCTCAAAATAAATAGATGCTATTAAATAAACAAAACTGTCCCTGCCATGAAGGAGCTTATAATCTATCCAGTTGAAAATACTACAGGACATAATGAAGCAATAAAATATAGAAAAGATGGAAGGCAGTTTATAAGGCTCAGACGGAAGTTGATGACAAAATGATCAAAGTCGGGTGGAGATTATCAGAGCTTTTGAGCTGGGTTACGAGGTGGTGATGGGCCAAGATTACTGGGCACATGTATGAGTGTGTGTGTGTGTGTGTGTGTGTGTGTGTGAGAGAGAGAGAGAGATGTGGTGCCAAGAAAAAGAACAATCTAAGGACATCAGACTAGCAGCCCAGAGCTACGTAGGCTGGAAACTCCAATGGCCAGGTCCCTCTGTAAACCCCAAAGCCACTGGTTACCCCTACTCTCATTTCTGCCTCCCACCTTCTTTAGTGGTTTTGTTTCTTGCTGGAGCAAATGCTGTCTGCAGACAGCTACACTCTTTCCACTCTGCAATCCAGGTCTTTGCAGTTTGGATTTGGTGCAACCCCCTAAAGTTAATTTGGATGTCAGCTTCTCCCTTCCCCACCCCTCTCTCTGGAGAATCTGGGAAATTAAAAAACTGTGACTCCCACAGAAGGGCCTGTGTGAGCATTAGGAAGGCCACAGGCTTGATGGGAATGGGGAGACCAAGCAGGAAAGAGAACTGGGAGGATGAGAGAGGAGCACAAGCAAGTGGATTGGCCACTTGAAGCACATTGGCTGCCCTCCTGCTGCACACCAGGCCCTGTGCTGGACTCTGTGGTCTGGGTACGCCATGAATGAATCCAGGGCCCTTCAAATGGAACACACGGGTTAGCAGCTGGTGTACCCAGTGTGCTTGGTTGAAGAGTCTGAAACTGATAACATACACAATAAACAGTGTTTGAGAAAGATTATTCCAGCAGGGTGTGTAGGAGGAAGGAAAAAACCTGGGTCAGAAAGGACAATGTGGCAGTGATGGTGGGAATTGGGGCCAAAGGTGGAATCTATGGGCTTGGAAATGAAGAAGTAAGTGAAGAAAGTAACGAACAATATATCTTGTAATAAAAGCAACAGAAGGAAGAATTTGGTAATAGATGAGATCTAGGATAGTGAAGGAGAGAATATAGTTAAGAATGAATCCACCTTCATGGTGAGTTTGGGGAGTAGGAGGGTCATGGTGGGCAGAGGGGAAGAGCTGGTGAAAGGTACAGGGATGTAAGGGTGAGTTCAGTCACTTCTAGGCCATGTGAGGGCAGGTGTCCTATAGGTGACTGGACTTAGAGATAGGGAAGTCCTGAGGGGCAGTGAGGGGCCTTGTGAAAGAGTGTCCCTGTCACTGTGGGTGTGCAGTTTCAGAACAATCATTTACCCAGGATATTGTGAACAGATTTCATCCATCAGGTAGAGGTTGGAGTCAACAACAGTGAAAGTACATCCTGAGAGCTGGTGAGCACTGGCTTGGTGAGCACATGGGTGGGAGATATGTCTGTATGTGTGGGAAGGTGGCGGGCATCCTTCTCAACTCTGGCTACTGAGGGTGCCAGAGATGTCTGGGGTTGAGGAGAGGGGTTGAGGCCCAGGTGAGGCACTTCAGCGGCCCAGGATCCCTCCTGCAGCCCCACCTTGGAACGCCCTGGAGCCCAGGCCTGTGCTGACTGCCAGAGCCTTTCCTGGAGCTTGGCAGAGGATGGAGCCCCTCCCTGCCTACCCTGGCACACTCCAGGCACAGCATGTCCCCTGGGGCACCTTGTAGACACCCCAGGAGGCTGGGGCATGGGACAGGTCCCCACCCCCCAGGAAGAGTCCTGCACTGGGCTGACATCTGAGCTCCCTGCCCTGGGGCTGTCGTCCTCACAATGGCCTCAGCAGACCACAGGGGACAGTAGGCGCAGAGGAGGAAGGAGAAGCTTTGTGGCTGGGTGGCATGATTGGTGGGTCTTTGTTGTGGCTTTGGGGGGAGGGTGGGTAAGGCAGAAAAGCAGGGTCTCAGGCTTCAAAGCACCTCCCCACCTGCTTCTCCTTCCCTCTGAGGAAATCTTCAGGGGCCTAGTGGTTTTGAGAGGAGGGGACAGGAAGAGACTCTGAACTCTGGGTCAGCTGAGGACAGAGATGGGGAAGATCTTCTTGCCCTATATCCCATTTCTCCCAGCATCCTCTTCCTCTGTTCCCCACCAACCTAGAAGAAATTTCTACCTACATCTGCATCTAAGAGTTACACCCCCATCCCCTCCCATCACCTACCCCCCCCCTCCCCGGCCCCGGCCAAGACCTCCAGAGGCCTCCCATAGTGGTGGGGGAATGGGACAACGTGTACCTGGCCGCTGTATGGCCGGCCACACCTGCCGGTTAGGGTGGTGGGGTGAGGAGAGTGCCCCTCCCAAGTGGGCAGAGTCCGCTCTGCTCGCACCAGGGGCTGCGAGACCCTTTACTGGAGCGGCGAGAAGGCAGGGGGATGCGCAAACTCGCCACGTGGAGGTCCCAGGCGACAGGCAGGGCAGGAGTCGAGGAGCCCTGTGCTCCCCCCTCCCCTCCCGCTCGAGGGAGCCTCTGAGAGTTGGGTCGTCGCTGACCGCAGGCTGCGAGAGCGGTTGATCTGGTGAGCGAGCACACCCACTTACCCAGCTGCTGAGTCAGGCTGTTCTCGCTCCCCGTTCGCCCGCCCGCCCGCTCGGGACATTGTGTTCCAGCCCCGGCGCGCTGGCACCGGGCCCAGGCGCTCACACCAGCCTCCTCGCCCTGTTTGTGCTCGCGGCTTGCGCTCGGCGCGCAGCCTCCCCGCCGCCGCAGCCCTGCGAGGGCGCGCTGGGGCCGCGCCAGGCCTGGGCACGGCAAGAGAGAGGGCCAGGGGCTGGTGTGGAGCCCCTGGGATGGGCGCCCCAGCCGGGTGGCCCTGGCAGCCCTAACCGTCACGGGCCTTAGCGCACCCAGACCTATCCATCCCCCACCTAAGCCCTGGTTTGGAACCCCAGGCGTGTGGGGGACGCCGGAGCAGCACAGTTGTGGGAGGCAGGTGTTGGTAGCTCCACGCAGGGAAGGAGCCGCCGAGGTTGCCGCCTGAGCCCCAGTAGCGCTCAGTCCAGGAGTCTGGAGGAAGACAGCTGGGAGCGCGCCAGCCCCAGACCTGGGAGACATGGGATGCTGTCACGTGACAACGGAAGCCCGCTAGAAGGGGCCAATTCAAGCCATCTCCCGGAGGCGCTTCCCCTTTCCTCGGACCCCTTCCCTAAGAAACACTTTCTTCACACAAGCCTGGAGACTCCAGGGATTCCCAGGGGCCTGGCCAACCAAGCACAGCTCTGTTGGATAGCTTGGGAACCCCCTGGCAGGACTCCAGGAATAGAAAGAGCCTGGACACTAGCGGGTGGGAGTGGGAGGCAGGGTGGAGGAAGACCCCAAACCGGAGGCTGATCCCTCCCTTTGTCCAATCAAAACCCGGTTTTATTCAGAGCCACCTTTTTTCCTTATCCATCCTTCTACAGAAAGACATCACTGAGTGCTAGTCCTGAAGGTTCCACTCTCCCTAAACCAAGGAGGGAATAAAGGACTGAGCACCAACCATATGGAAGACTCTGTTAGGTCCTGCTAAAGATGTCATTCAAAAGTTTATGACACAATTCCTAAGGTCCTTTCTTCTCCCTCCTTCCAACCTCCACAGTTCACTCTGTCATCTCCCATGCCAGGAGTGCCTGTCCTCCATGTCTACACATCTCTCAAGCTCCAGCTCATAAAGCCTGCTTGGAACAGCACCAGCCAAATCTGATTCCTCCTCTGAAAGCTCAGCACACTTAGTCTGTACCTTTCTCACGGCATAGCGTGTGGCCTGTCTCATATTCTAGTGATCTGTTTACTAATTCTGTTCTTCTAACCAGATTAGAAAGTTCTTGAGGCAGAAACAAAGTCTGCTGCTTTGAGGCCTCCCCCCATGGCTTGAGTTCATCCCCCACAGGCCAAGGTTGGCACTGGAGTTGATGTTCAATAAATGTTGGGTGTATTGAAATGATTTCCTGCCCTTGGGCAGTTTGCAGACCAGTTGAAGAGACAAACACATGGCATGGGAGGTTAAATAATAACCCAAGCCAGCAGGTGGTGAGTACCAAGTGTTCGAGCTATAGGGACTCAGAAGCAAGAAGGTGGTAGTGTGGGAGAAAGATCCCAGGAGGTTCTAGGCCTTGAGCTGTGTGTGTGGAGGATGAGAGAGAAGGCGTGGGGGTGACTCATTCTAGTTGACATCATCACAAACCAGCCTCCGTTCTAGGCACTTCACATGGATTATCTCTAATATTTAAGGGAGTAGGGGGAAGTTTGGGGGTGGGGAGGGGACCGTGCCCAAGCCAGACCTGCCCAGAGCCAACTAGAGTGTAGATGCAGCCTTAGATCTGGGCTCCCCACCCTCACTCCCCAGGCACTGCTTGTTCCCTGGCCTGCCACTCCTACATACTACACCCAAGAGAGTTGCCCAGCACTGCCGGGCTCTGGATGCACTCTGGTCCCATCCACCCTGGTGAACAACTGGCTGTGTGACCTTGGGCAAGGCATTTCCTTCCCTGCACCTCCCTGTCATCTGTACCCCTGTCTTAGTGATTCAACATCCCCAGTGATGCTTTCCATCTCCCC